GTGGCAATACAATGAAAATGTGTAATATAAAATACCAATCGTCACACTAGACATATTGATGTTCTGCAAGTTGGTTCAACTTTAAAGATGCAGATCAGAAAATGTTGTCACAGGTTTATAATTTTGTAACTTATTAAACGACACGTGACCATTACAAAAGTTAAACTCATTCATTTTACTTTCTCTTATTTTCAAACGAAATTGATTAAATCATGATTGATCTTGATATTCACTGCTTTTAAGAAAGCAATATTCTATGATTATGTTTGTCATATCAGTGTTTTCTGTAACAGATAAAGGAATATGTAGTGTGGTCGCCAATTATACAACAACCCGACAACACAAATAACAAAAAAACGGGCCTACATACCTTTGCAGCAATAAACAGATGCCCTATATATTTTAACAGGGTCTAGATCTTCCCTTGTCTAAAATAGAATATAGAGAAGAAACTATAAAATCACGTTCTGGTCACATGAGATCAAACTCGAAAAATAACTTTCAAGACAAGTTACAACCAGGGAGATGAATTTAAAAACCCGTTCAGAACACCTGTGGTAACCCTAGGTTGTTTTGGGGGGGGGGGGGCGTGTTTTTCAAATTTTAATATTAGTTTTGTGTAAACATTGTGTATGTGTTTCTCTCTCGTTTGACTATGATGTTGTATGGTCGGCAACTTAAGGTTTGGTTGGGCCCTTATTTTTTTGTATTTCGTTCAGCAGTTACAATGTACCATCCATAGAAATTGTTAATCTTATATGAAAAAACAGTACAAACGTATAACCCTATTAATTTATCATAAATGGGATATATAATCAACTTTAAAAAAAAAAAAATTTCGCGGTGTAGTTAAAGATCGGAAAAAAAATAATATCGAAGAAAATCATAATGACGTACACAACAGAGCATCTTCAGCCTGAGTCTTAACAAGTCACAAGAAACACACATTATATTATGTTTTCTTCGAAATTACGTCGCAGGATAGATAATGTACAGATCATAGTCTGCATATTGTGAACAATGTTTCGATAAATAGACGAAAAACATGAAGGTAATACAAATAGAGTGGAAAATATTATTTGTGGAGAAAAAAAATGTACATCAAGGATGTTTTAGGTATATTAAGATAAAGACTCTTTAGTATTCTATGTCCAGAGGGAGATTTTGACCCAGTAAGTGAAACAAACACTGGAGAATTTGGCCATACTCCTTAATGAAGATATTCAGTCCTACTGAAAGGGTAAGTTGGAGGATAAATAATGAATATGTCATAGCCTACAGATTTTGTATAAATGTATTAATGGAGTCAGATCAAATCAGGTAGGTAACTCAAAATGAAATAACAGTAGGTATATAATTGTATAAAACAAAGGAATAAGCATTTGTTTTTTTTTTAAATTGTCACATGAAAGGGTTCTTAAGGGTTTTTTTCTTTCAACATGAATTGCATGTAATTGTATCAGTATTATCGTGGCAAAAGGCCTTTGTTCGTCGTGCTACCATATAACGTAAATAAACAAGTTTGATGAAGATCAATGAAGTATATGTTGTCCGTAAACTAATGTTATTGTTGTATTTGGGTTTTTGTCCCTTTGTCGTTTACCCCACATCTCCAGTTATTCATACTTTTGAATTTAAATTGAGAGAAAGACATATATTTTTTTTTCAAATTGCAATATACAGCTACAGTAGAAATACATGACTGAAATCCAGTTTACTGTATCAAAATTGTCACTTGATCCTTACCATATGATTCAGTCTATTGTTAGTTTGATACTCCATTTGCTGCTATCGATAACAACAATGTCATGTGTACAGGAATACATATTATGTACAGCATTATAGGAATGTTACAGCTTTAAACAATAACATGCAAGGTTATTGGTCAATTTTGACATGTTTATGATGTCATATTGTTATCTCAAGTGATTTTTCTGCAAATAAATTTCTCGATACTAAGTTATATCAAATAACTGGTTCATTTATCTGAAGAATGAACATGACACAGAAAATCATGAATATCTTTCCTTTTTGCAAGTTAAGGGGTTGAATAATGACCCTTACCATTACTCCTTATTTGCTTAAATAAGGGTAAACGATAAATAGTTTACTCCACTGACGTTAACTCTAACTAAACAAGAATGTGTCCATAGTACACGGATGCCCCATCTGCACTATCATTTTCTATGTTCAGTGGACCGTGAAATTGGGGTGAAAACTCTAATTTGGCATTACAATTAGAAATATCATATCATAGGGAACATGTGTACTAGGTTTCAAGTTGATTGGACTTCAACTTCAACAAAAACTACCTCGACCAAAAACTTTAACCTAAAGCGGGACAGACGGACGGACAAACGAACGGACGCACAGACCAGAAAACACAATGCCCATAAATTGGGCATAAAAATGCGATTTGAAGTATGCCAATATAATTTTTAGACTCATTTAACGCTAAACGTATCGACTTTAGTATTGAAAAACTTACACATAGAGCATAAGATCATTCCAATCCTCCTGACATATTTGCGGTAGGTGAATATTTCTTATTATGCTTTTGAACAAATATATAAAAACTTGGCAATATAAAAAAAATTTCACATCGTTATAACCGTAAATAAAAGGTAGCAGTCGAGCTGTTTGGACAAACCAAACTCTGAAAACAAACAATACAAATAAAGACTGTTAAATCAGAAAGTTCGCTTCGAGCTAAATGATTCCCCCCTCTTTTTTTTCAAAGATAAAATACGCCTACATACGGGCTTTGTCATTTTCTAACAAAAAAATATGAGAGCCTATAATTCAATAGCGTCCGAAAAACGTAGTTGCATTAGATTATGGTAGTCCTTCTTGATACGGACCTTGTCATTTTTGAACGAAATTATGATAGGTCATGATTAAGGATGCACTCTTCTGACGTTTCAGTCTCGTGGAAATCTCGTTCTGGAATTATTTTCAAAACATGTGATACAATTCTAATGCGCAAAATATCGTTGTTACAGCATTTTGTGATTTGCTCTGTTTTATTGTTACATGAAGTGATGATTTGGGAGTACACATCAATCAGACAGCAACTTAAAAGCAATACGACTATACGTGTTTATATAAATTTTCATCAATTTTAGGTAAATATATTCATATATGGCAAGCGATGAATAAATCCAATTCTAAATGAGCTAACTATAAATTAAACGCACACGAGTGCAAAAGTAATAATCTTAAGCTTTGATCATACCAAATCACACTGAAACAACGAAGAAAGGCCAATTATCTCTCATGAAGACGAATCGCGTGTATTGCATATTCAATTGGAAAGGGAACTAATTTTGATATTTTTAACAAGGAAGTTTATATTTGTTTTTGCAAAAACTGTATATTAGGGAGCTTAAGGGTTAATTTCTTTTACACATTTTAAATGTATTTTTTATCGAGTACTTTCTACTAAAAGGCCGTTGTTCACGTGTTACGTCCAAATGGGTGGTAATGGCTAAAATTATTTCATGTTCGACGTAGATTCATTGATTTGTTTTTATTTTACATACCTCTGTATATGATACCCATGAAAAAAATGAAAACAACACGTGAACATATAACATATCACACGACAGCCGCATAACTAATCAATACCTGTGCATGCAATATGCATGTTATGTTTTTATCATTTTAAAATCGAGTGTTCCTGGTACTGTTGACGTTGTTTGCCAGAATGAAAACCTTTGTAGTTCTTGTTGCATTCTTACAACTTGCAATAATTGCAAGTCTAAGAAAACACAAACCGGTCAGTATTACCTTGAATGCAGGGAAAAACTTACCAGTTAGTGGCTTCCTGATAGACAATTCCAACTAGATTAAAGAAGTGAATTATCAGTTAGACAAAATAAAGGCAGTTTCGAAGCACAATAGGGACAGCATTTCTGCAATTAAATCCAGACTAACAGACCTCAGTAAGGCGGTAAATGGTTTGCTTAAAACAACTGCATAACAGGCTGATCCGGCAAGTGATGGTTTGTATACATAAGATAAAACTTTTTTTTTACAAAACTTTGATAATTGCGCGAACTTAATTTATTTTAGATGCAGATATCAGTTGTAATTTAAACTAAAAGTTGACATTAAGAAAACTCACAATGACTATACAAATTTTAACAGCGCGGTAAGAACTCATATTGTAAGTACGTTATTTGCTAACAAATAGGCGCGTGATAGCACTGTTCGTCCTTTGTTCTAGTGATTATTAAACGAGTCTATAGTCTATGATTATAGAGCTCGTTAGAACATCGATCTATCTGTTAAATACGACAATACAGATTATAGTCGTTCAGACATACAGTGAGAAAAAAGTGGGAAAGAGTACAATCTTATAATGTTGATTTGTAATGGTATATTGTTAAGTTCACACATTGACAATTAGGTAATGATTTAACGACGAAAAGAAATAGAAAAATATAACATTGGGGAGTGGAAGTTTCCAAAAAAACATTATGACTTATTTTGTTTTTGTTTTTTTATTAGTTTTCTAGAAATGTTTTCTTTATATATTAGGTTACATTGGATGTTACAAGGATTACGGTAATCGACATCTCAAATATAAAATATCGGACTTGGGAATTCTATAACCTTGGCTAAATGCCGTGAACATTGTAAAGGATATAAATACACGGGCTTGCAGGTAGATATGATTCCACAACAAACTTTTAAAGTTCAATAATCAGATACGTAATTTGAAATAGGCATTTGTAATTGGCTTATAATCGTAATAGGTTATACTATTGTATATATTTATTACTCAAACATGGTCGAGGCAAAGCTGATATATAAAAAAACAGATACCAAATAATATAGTTTATATAAGATGTGCTTTGTGTTTACCACTGTGACGTCACTTTGTTGAGTTATGATCATTTATTTTTTCATATCCTTAAAAAACGTCTATTCATTCCTTTTTATTTTATGCAAATCATATACATGTATTAATTATTATCTATAGACATTACAATTTGTTTTTCATTTTAATATCGCATATATTGTCTTTGTGGAAATGAACTAGCAAACAAACAGTATCCAAGGGTACCAGAATCAGATTGTAACATGGCTTGTGCTGGTGAAACGAATCGAATGTGTGGAGGTGGCTATAGAAACTCGATATATTTAGGTAACTAAATCAAATGAATAGTTTGCCCATCAATAATAAAATTAAAGATATTATAGATTCATATAATATAAATATGGAATTAGAAATAACAATTTTAAAATGTCGTGCGTCCGGATATGGTCTGATTTTAAATGAGAAAACTATCAATCGGAGAACAAATCATGTGCATGGATGTAAGTGACTTAAGGTTAAAATACGGATTTTAATAATGAAAAAAAAAACCAACCAATATTTTATGTAAAGCTAGTTTGTCTTACTTTTAAGTCCCATTTATATAATGTTCATTTTTTAAATGTATTTTCATTAACATGATTAATAAAAACAATTAAATGGATCAATTCGGAAGTTGTATTGCATTATGGGGCCAATACTGTTTTAGGCGTTCTGGTTGCTTCAAACACCAATACGATGACTCTGAAACTACACGTCATTAATGCATGGGGACGAACATTGATATTTGTTTATCTATTCTAAATTCTTATGCATATATTTTTCTTTTTCAGTCAAACCGTAATCGCAAAGAGAAATGCAGAAAAAACACAGAGATCAGTATCAAAATAAAATGATAGTATTTTAATGTGATTGCTTGTTGAAATTACTGCATGTTAATAATATACAAGGATTGAAGAAGATCAATGAAGTAATCTGATGGCTTGTTATATTTCTTTTTATTGCGGTCTCTATATCTCCTGTTATTCATATAATTAAATCTAAATTAGGAGAAATATTTGTTTGTTTACAAGATGCAGATGCAGTAGAAATACATGACCGAAATCAAGTTTTTTGTATCATAAATTGTCCTTTGATCCTTATCGTGTATTTCAGTCAGTTGTGTGTTTGATACTCCATTGGCTGCTATAGATAACATCAATGTTATGTGTACAGGGTGACATAGTTAATACATGATACACACGCCACGTCTGCCTTAAGCAATACACCAAAGTTAAATACGCATATTTTCACAATTTTTTTTCAAAATTAGAAGAGTCAAATGATCAACGCACGAGGTCAGTTATGTATGGTTTTGGGTGTTTTTTTTTGTATCTTTTAAATGTTTTCAGCTTTCAATATTCATTGTTCCCTCATTTTGTATTTAATATATAGATGAATCAATTGGACAAGACGAAATAGGGATGGATGTGTAGGACAATAATTTAATAAGATTCTATGGTAGAATGATACTAGGAAACAACCAATATTTCAATGAAGATGTGCGTTAAACTCGTTTTTTTACAGTTAATAGAAGTTAATCAGCAAAAAAACTACTTCAACTCAAACCTGGTGGAGACATATATTTATGGCTGCTATTGATCTAGTTAGGTCTTTCCACCTTTCTGTTGAAAGACCTATTGTATTTGTTCTGATTATAATTTTTTTTTCTTCTTCCGCCAAACCCTTTTCTTGCGGTCTAAAGTGGTTTCGCAAGATGTTTCTTATATTTCTTTGCATATGATATCGAACAGTTATTGCGCTTTTGAAAATCACTCTGTTTAACTTTTTATTGGTAGATCTATTTCCCCAAACACTGTTTTTCTTGTGAGTGCATCTTCTTCTCAACCGTAAAAGAAATCGAATTTATTTTTCCCAATTGGTTGTTAATTCAATTTTAAATGAAGCGACACTGTCCAAAGCTATGGTATGATATCTTACAGGATTTATAGCCCTGACATGGTTAAATGTAAGGCTTATTGATTATAGCTTCATACTGGTACATGATAAAGACATGGGGTCTTTTACAAAGGGATAGGTGACATATGGCCTTGAAAAACATCAACCGGAAGTGACCTTGTGCAGAACGGATGTAGCCATGTTAACTCGTATTCAAAGGAAAATAACTTAGAGACTATAAGTTTTTGGAATCAGCATACAATAACATATACAATGACACCGGAAATTACCTTTTGTAAACCGGATGTAGCTAATTATCTCTCTTATTTGAAACAAAAGTACATAGAAATTATATTTTTTGGAATATGTGTAAAGTAAGCTATCTTTTGGAACCGAATGTGACCTTCTGTAAATCGAAAGTGGTTGATTATCTCCCTTATTACAAGAAAAAATACATAGAAACCATTTTTTTGGAATCGGTGTAAAATAACCTTTTAGATAAAACCGGAAGTTACTTTTTCTAACCTGGAAGTATCTTATGATTCCCTCATTTCACATAAATGTACCTAGCAACCATTTGATTTACAAATCAGTATAAAATGTTCTTTAATATATAAGTGAAATTTTCTAGACAAGAAGTAGCTTATAATCTCCTATATTTCAAGTGCAAGTTCAAAGAAACCATATATCTTTAGAATTGGTGTATAGTTTTTCTCATACCCTTAGTGGGTTTTTATTCTTTTCAAAAACAATCAGTCTAATCTTATGTAGAAAGACTGTCAGTTGTTCTCTGAACAATTGGTTTTTAATTTGTTTTTTTTTTGCCATGAAGAGTGAATTTAAAGAATTGTCTTTTAATGAGTGACTATAATAACCTAGCCAAACGATCGCGAAGCGATTCAAACTGTTTTTGACTTTTTTTATATAAAAAAATTATGTTTTCGATTGATGGGGAGTTAACACAATTTAGCTAACGCTTGAATCCTCCCTAGCCATATTTTGTTAATTTTAAACAGATATGAATTTGTCCAGATTCCCATGTGATCATGTGATCATGTGACAAGTTAATGTATCTTTTAGAATTATGTTGACCTCACTTTATATTCCATATTAATGTGGTTTGTAATGTTCAATGCTTCATTGTCTTTCTATTGTGTTTCAATGTTTATTAAAGTGTATGATTTCCCCATGATGATAAACCAGTATGAACATTCTGTTGTTAAGATTTTTCATTTCAAACTAGACATTTCTCATTCCCATGTGCAAGTTGACATTTCTCATTTCAAACTGCAAGTTGACAATTCTCATTTCCAACTGTAATTTGACATTTCTTATTTCAAACTGCATATTGACATTTCTCATCTCCAAATTAACATATCTTAGTTCCGAGTTTACATTTCTCATAGTTATCTAAGTTGGAACCGAGAAATGTCAACTTAGAAATGAAAGAAAACCACTTGATTAGTTTCTTGCGTTCGAAGTGCACCATTGAAATAAAATATACTCATGCATGCTACTCATTTGTGTCTTCTCTCAATACATGTATGGTTCGGTGAACACCTGGTTGGCTGTGCCAAATTTTTACTTGTTGGTGGAAAGGTAAACAGTAATTTTTGAAGTATTCTAAGCATTGTTGGTTTTTCTTATTTAAAGGTACGTGGGATACACGTTTATTAGATGGCTGCCAAACAACACAAAGGAACCACAAGTATTTATATAAAGGTCAAAAACGGTTTACAAATCCGGAAAACGATATATTTCAATATGCTGAACTCTGAATCTCTCTTATCTAGAACATTTGCAAATTTGTAACAGAATGTAATAGAGATCTGCTATTAATTGATACAAAAACTATAAACTTAAACAGCATAAAATTTAAACCGACAACTTATATATTAAATGTTTGAGATTACGTGAGACATTTGATCTTGTTGTTTTATTGAGTCAATCGTATCCGCTTCAGAGGGAAATCTCGAGAACTGTCAGACGAATACAATATACTGTTGTTGTTGAATGTTTAAAAGCATTTCTCTGTATATTAAAGGACAAATATTCTGAACATTTTGGTTAATGGTATATGTACTTGTATGCACAATGATTTGTTCATTTTTCGTTAACGGCACTTGTATTAAGAGAACTTTAAACATTTAAGATCTTTGTACATGTATTGTTGAAATTTGCACGTTTTTGGAAAAAAAATCGACCTCGTGAAAAAGCAGCGTGAAAGTTTCAAAAAATTAAGAGTTAGGTAGCTAATCAAACGAACACAAAGTTCTTAACAGTATGGTGTCAGTAACTGTTTTTTATAAGTAAAGTCGAGGACCAGAAATCAGTAACACAATGTTGAAAACAAAACAGAAACACAGTGAAGCTGAAAACAATGGACACGTTACCCGCCTGGATCTTATTAACCCTGTGTATTCAATATTCCCACGTTCCGATTAGTTTGGTAAGTGTAAACACAAACTAATATATTTTCATGTTTCAGTCAGCTTTATTTTGATATGATAGAATATTGTTCTTCTTAAATCTGATTTCATTATTTTTGTACCAATGTCTTAGCTTCACTTGTCCAGTGTTTTTAGCTGACTTGTCAAGTTGTTTACGTTTTTTGTGCATGCATCAGTCTTGTTATGGTTTCTTTGGCGTGTTATTACTCTGGATTTTGATTATTCACCCTCCTTTAAACATAATTTCATTTGTATTATGAACCTCGTACACTTTTGTTTTGACTTTAGAACATTCATGTTCACAAGGTAATCTTGGATGTTAAACATTACATATACAATCAACAGTCGTAAAATTATTGATCAATGATTTGCAAACCTTATATTTCAAACCATTACATAATGAATTATATAATGTTGAACAAGTACTAAATAAATTAACATAGAGTATGGGTTTAGTTTTGCAATAAATACAATAAGTAGAATTTATATTGCATGAAAGGATTATTTACATCTGCTGCAACTTAAGTATCTTATAACCCACATTTACAATCTATTACAGACCAGTCTGAAAAATGACTGATTATTGAACAAAAGACTAATTTTAAGTTGTAGATTGTAATGTATAACAATATATCCAATGGAGTTTATACCACGTGGTCACCTCTTTAGTGGTTCACATATCAAGATATCTTATGGATAAGGTATGTAGGACATATTAAATCTTATTTTTTACAAAATTTATATTTTATTTTCCATTAAAAAGAAAATTACAAAAAAAAATATTAAAGCTAAAACGAAGATGAAACATAATCTAATAATTATTATTCGATTAGAAAAAGAAATAAATTAGTCTGGAATTAATGATTTTATCGCATTTCCTTTTAGACACGATAGCTTTTCGGTATCTGATGATTTCAAGAACTAACAGGATTTCATTTAGAAAAGATGAATAACAGAATTTTTTTCTTAAATCTTGAAGAAACAACATGCGTAATCGAATAATCAACGTGGAAACGAATCATCTGTCTGTCAATGGAAAATTAAATCGAATGTCCATGTACAAACACGAGGGAAAAAAAACATCCAAAATATGCAGATTCGTAAAAGGTACCAAATTCATCTTTTTGTTCTGTATTTGTACGATGATTTTATTAGGTTGCTTAGTGCTTCTAAAAATATGTTCTCTTTGGAATAAACGTTGTCTTTTTGTAGTTAAGAAAATTAATATTTGGTTGATGTATATGTACACCATAATTGTATTGGTAAAAATATTTTTTATATAATTACAAAATTCATGGTATAATATTTGGTCGAGTCATGTTGTTATTATGTTTGATTGTACTTGATGCAAATGTCTTATATTATCCATTCATTTAATTGGACACATGGCATTTTTAATTTTCAATAACCTTTCATAAGCCCCGCCCACCCATAGTAACATCTGATAATATTAGCAACTGGTGTTAATGCATAAAATTAACACTCGCATAAGCCCGAAATTTGCCTATTCGGAACAATTAACACCCGCAATGACCGAGGTTTACCGATTCTTATTTCTACATCATTTCCGTCGTTTTGTTGTTGTTATTAGTTAACTATTTTAAGACTTTATTTTTTTTACAATTGTCCTACTAATAACATAGTGCACTCTCAAATCATAAAGCATTCAGTATAATAAAAAACAAACTGCCCTTGGATGAAGGTGTAAGGGTGATTAACACACTCGATGAAAAAATTATCACCCGCGACTTCGCCTTAGGTGATAATGTTTTCCCTTTTGTGTTAATCTACCCTAACAGTTTCATCCAAGGGCAGTATGTTTATATTGTAACCTAGGTAAATAGTCATTGTAATATCATGTACTGACTACAAAAATACTTAAAATGTTAAGCAACACAGAAATCAAATGTGTCCAAATGTGACAAGAATACGAGACGACGAACAGCTAGATAAGTCCTGTTCCTTTGTTTGCCCTTGGTGTTGTCAGTAGCTATTTTAAACGGAGATATGCATTGCATTAAAACACAATATACTTTCCAATCCATAACAGAATCAACCAGATTATTTGGTTGATTTATTTTCGTTGCCTCGAAATGCAGTGAAAAAAGCATGGACATTGTGAACGAGAACCAATTCTGATGTACCCCAATTTTTGACATCTTTACCTATTATGTCTGTTTGTTTTGTTCACACATTGTTGTAGATATAATGGAATTTTATGCGACTGTCATACAAGTGAGAGGTTTAGCTACCTATACAACATGTACAACCAGGTTTAATTCACCATTTTCTACATAAGAAAATGCCTGTACCAAGTCAGGAATATGACAGTTGTTGTCCATTTGATTGGTGTGTTTGAGCTTTTGATTTTGCCATTTGATTAGGCACTTTCCGTTTTGAATTTATTTCGGAGTTCAGTATTTTTGTGATTTTACTTTTCACTATACGTCTGTAAAGTGGGTCCTGCCGAATAAAAGGAAGATACAATTAGTCTGCTGCATGAAAAAGAGAATATTCTGGATAAGGGCCTACTGTTGCCCTGCATTAGGTTACCAATGTATTCTTCAAAAAGAGGAATTGGATGGCTTCTTGTATTAGCAAAGAGCAAAGCAACATCCTAACATGACTCATCGAAACTTGCAAACTAATAGAACATGGTTGTGCTATGTATTAGTGAATTTATAAGAATTAGTGGATTCGAAATCGATAATTAACGAGCGACTTTTGTCGAAAGTTGAGTACCGTTTCCGAATCCATTACTTCTTATAAATTCTCTAGCGTAATCCATTTCTACTAAAACGGGGTCTGTTTTACGTTTTGATAATAAATCAACGGAATGTCATAAAGATAATTTCGTATTTTGTCTTTTTTAATCTATAATAGTTGGAATTGATTATATCCACACGGTTTACATCTATATTTAGACATTCGACAAGTTAACATAAGTGTTAGCTCCCCTTTTTAACTCCAAATTTCATATTGGTTAATAAATATTTCATTTAATGTTTAATCATCACAAATTATTTAAAATGAATAGATTTTGGTATTTGTGATTTCTTTAAAAAGACCTATATTAAAACATAGAATATATTTATCTTGTTTGTATTTACCAAAACTTAGAACCTTTGAAATTGATATATATAGTATTTTGCAAAATATATTAAGTAATCTAAAGACTGGCTACCAATTAGTCATACTAATTCAAATCTATAAGGTTAGCGCAATTGCCACAAACCTTCCGTTTCATGTTGCCCCATTTCATGTCCCGACATAAAGAAAATAATATGCTAAGAGTTTTATTTGAACAATTATATATAAATTTTGTTTAAACTGTTTCCTTTTCATTAAGTTTAGAATATTTCAACGCTATTGCATTTGGCATGCATCGTCAATCAGTTAATTAGCTAGTATTATCTGTGGTACGCATTCCCGAATCCACAGCATAATTGCTCCTGCTGCCAATGTATAACTATGATGATTTTATGAAGTTTTAATAAAGCTGTTCATAGCCGTGATCGTTTAGTCGTAACGGTGATGTTAACAGTGAGGAGTTCTAACCTTGTACCCAGAATGAAATTTGTTCTCGACCAAAATATTGTTTAAACTCAGAGATATTAATATTATATTTTCATATAATGACAATGATTTTGTTTGTGTTATTAATGTCAAAGAAGTAGTTTTAAGGTCGTGGCTTTTATATCACACTTTATTCAAATAAGAGGCCGTTCAGTGATGACGTGATGCATATTTGGATCATTTATAATCAAACAAAGAAAAAATGATTGATAGCATGATAATATTATAAAACTAAAACCATAAGTAAGCATTTGCTATGATGAAAAGAAAATTGAAACCCCTTGTACGTCAAAAAGTGACAAGTGTAATGGGGATATGGAAGTTTATTTTATCAATGAATTGTACTGATGTATACAATTCCTTGATTTATAGTGGTTGCAACTTTTGTGTTATAGCCACAATCGTGTAGGGGTTCAGTTCATTATAACGATGTTAAAATTAACTAATGTTCAAACCTGACATCAAAAATAAACTCTTTTTCATGATTTTAAAGAAATTGTTTTTTTTTTTTTTCTCATGTCATTTTATATTTTGATATTGCTAAAGATTTATATTCAAGAACGTTCATATGTAGAATATAATCTTCCTTTAAAAAAAAAACACCCAAAATAAAACCATTCAAAAAATTGAAAAGAACATGAACAAACCAAGATGCAGCATACATTTCATAGATTACAGAAGTTAATTATCAATGAGACATAATCCAGTTTATTGACATATATTGATTATTAAGCGCTTGAAGAGCATAACTTAAAAATTGATTCATGTCAGCACTCGTGGTATAACGGTATCATGCATAGATTGAATACTGTAATGATCTACGATGAAAATACGAGCGATTTCGAACCCTTCATATGAAACTCGTTTTGAGAGGATAAAACACCGTAAGTTAAAAGTTAAAATTTATAATGTAAGTTATCTAAAGTTAACACAGTGGTCAGTGGATTCTTAAAAAAAATAATCTACAGTAAAAACAATAGACTGACATCAGAGAAATGGATTAAGTATATCAAATTAACCAATCAGATATCCCTCAGTGAGTTTCAATACCAGACTCATACCCTTATTTCTACTTTTTTTCAGATTTCTTTAGTTGTCTATACTTTAAATCAAAACGTGTCTTTTTATTATCCTGCTATTTAATTGTCAAATGCAGTTTAACATTTTGATATCCCGTGTTACACTTTTAATCTGTTTTAGATGAGAGTGAAACAATCTGAATCCCAATTTTAATTATATAACTGCAACTATTTAGTCATTTATATGTTGAGGAAGTGTATAACATTTTGGAACTCTTCGACTTTATTCACTCTGATTTTATTCTAGTTTTTTTTTCAGTACTTTCCTTTTCGGTCTACAAACTTGATTGGAGCATGTTTAATTCTAATTTTGATTACGGTGTATATATTTGATTCTGTGTTCATGGATACTGATATGTTTTACGAATGGAGCTCATCTTATACAAATGATGGAATGAATAGGTGGTTCATCAATGAAAACATATTAACAAAGAAGAGGCTTGTTGGTTCTATTAATTGTCGTGCTCTGCTAACAGGACAAAAACGTGAAATTACCAGGGCAAACAACCTGCAAAACGAATATCTATCCGCTTTATCGCCTTTTTATAATATCAGTCGAACGCGTGATTGTAAGAAGTTTCTCCGAGACAGAGGCTACATTACATCAACACTTTCCAGCGAGGAAGAAGACTTTTCAATAGCTTACAGTGTGCTCATATTCAAAGCAATCAATCAATTTGAGAGATTACTTAGAAGTATTTATCGACCTCAGAACTTCTGTTGTGTTCATGCTGATACAAAAATGTCCGATGTACGCCGAAAGGCGCTTGAAACAATAGTCAATTGTTTTGACAAAGTGTTCATGTCATCTAAATCGTATGACGTTCGATGGGGTAAAATAACAGTATTGCAAGCGGACCTAATTTGCATGAAGGATTTACTGAGACATAAGAAATGGAAGTATTTTATAAATTTAACAGGGCAAGATTTTCCATTAAAAACTAATCTGGAAATTGTAAAAATTCTGAAGGCTTATTACGGTGCAAATGATGTCTCCATTTCAAATAATCAGTAAGTTAAATGTAGTGTACTACAATGAAGAAAAAGCAATTCTGGATAAACGTTTATAAAACAGCAACAAACCAAACCTATCATAGTAACTTACAAGACGGCAAAAGGTTAATAGTATTTTAATTTAAGCGAGGGAAAACTGCCATGTCAATATTAATCGATTCTAAACTAGAAACCTTTAAAGAAGAACTTTAAGGTAGATTAAGATTGTATGGTAATTAGAGTAGCAAGCAGGTATGCCTTTATCACAATTAACCCTATTTATATAATGTGTTGTTTTGCAGGGTTAGAACAAAGAAAAACAAAGAGAAAATTGGGGAAAAGTCATTGCATTGATATTACTTTCCTGGTTGTGTGCATTATACTGGATTTCGCATTTTTAGAAAGCACAACATTAAATTGTCGATCATGATTTCAAATGAAAAATAGCATTTTTATGTGCGAGACTGGTCATTTAATGACAACCCAATTTTATAAGAATTTCCGTCTCATTTTATCTTAAAATTCATGTAGTTACTTTTCTTTCTATTCAAATAATAATGTTTTCCGTATAAATCCTTACAAAATATAAGTTGGTTACAATTTGTTGCTATACGCTAAGCTCGGTGACCTGTAATTTGTATTATTGAAAGAAAAAAAGAAACATGACATCAACAACGTTTTGTAAGATATAAAAAGTCTTTTATTCTGTTAAGTATACCCTATACTACACTAACGATTTATATTTAAGGATTTATATTCTACAAATTTCGTTTAATGACCTATAGTCATCGTGTGACCTTGTACTTGAGAGGGTAATACATGTACAATTGTTATCTTGTGCCTACGATGTGGCTGCTTGTATAGAAAGAACTATAATAATCACACGGAAATTTAAAGGAGTATCACAATTGTTTGCCCAAACAAATAGCCTGTCTAAACACTTTCAGAAAATGAGCTAGCAAATAAAAAAATGAAATATAATACAACGGAATGAGTCACAAGACGGCATGATACTCCATCATTTCGCAAAAAAAAAAAAATACAAACAAAAAATAAATTTCCAGAGAGATTTTAAATATATATTGACTTTTATATGTACATATTTATTTTTCAAATAAGAATCTGAATATATTTGGAAACCACAAAGTGTTTTAAGAAAATGTATATTTCTGTAATTACTTTGTATGAATTTGATTTGTTTGTGTGCTCATACTTTTCATATTTATAACCATCATAAATATAAGTTGGAATATGCACAATTATGTATTAATTAATATCACTAATAACTGTTTCCATGGTAACCCGTGTTTGTGTGGTTCCTTACAAAGTAAGAATTGTCATGAACTTAAACAATGAATTTGTATCTTTAATTCACAGAATGCGAGTCATTGGGCTTATAATCCGGTGGCTGCGAAAATGATTTGTTTTCAGCTTCATACTTCAAAGAGTAAAAGACCTGGATGTTTCATACCGTGTATACAGAAGCCGTATGATATGAAGTTTAAAACTGGTATTTGTCTACTGTCTTTGACTTCGTTCTTTTGGTTCAGAAACTGCTTAGAAAATGTATAGTTTTTTGTCATCGAAATATCTCACATATTATGAATAATAATATACTATATTTGGCATATTGGCTTCTTGCAAGGTCTATATGCGTTCAGACAGGATTAATATGACCTTTATCTCATTTCATGGACAAATGAGCAATGTAAAAGGTTCATGATTAGGTCTTTCGTTCTAATACTATAAGTAATAGGTCAACTAAATGTGGCGTATGGAGTGATTGTAAGGTTAACTTATCAGACTGGCAGGTTTTATATAACCTCCACCTCATTTTCATGGTTCATTTGCCCGTGTTATATTTTGTGTTTTATCTTTTTTTCAGGTACAATAAGCAATAATTCAACTTTATTTGGTGTATTGAATGACTGTTGGGTGTACATGTCTGTCTTGCAGGTATCATCAGTCCTTGACTTATTTCCATGGTTCATTGGTCAATGTTAAGTTATCTTGGTTCAGTCTGTTTCTTAGATACTATAAGCAATATTTCAACTATATTTGGAGTATTGAATGACTGTTAGGTGAACATTTCTGGCTAGCTTATCATCTGACATTGACCTTATTTTCATGGTTTATTGGTCAATGTTAAGTTATCCTGGTTCAGTCTGTTTCTTAGATGCTTTTAGCAATATGTCAATCAAATTTTGGTGCATGTTATGGTTGTAAGGTGTATATGTCTGTATTGTATGTATCATATAAGCTTGACCTCATTTTCGTGGTTCATTAAGCAATGTTAGATTTTAATGGTTTGGTCTGTTTCCCAGATACTGTAAGTTATAAGTCAGGACATATGGTGTATAGAATGTTCATAAAGTTTACATATCTGTCTGGCACGGTTTATGTGACTACTGACCTCATTTTCATGGTTTTTTTTTAGCTATTTTTAGGTAATACTTTTAAAAACCTTTATATTTATGCGTTCAATATACAAATGAGTTTTGGTTCGTAAAGCAGGCGAGACATTTTAGAATGTGCACTCTTGATATAGAAAACGTTCTGCTAAGTGAGACGATGTAATTGATCTTGCAATTAAGCATTTGGACTGGAAGTGTACAGGTTTGATTTGAAGGTCAAAATCAACTTTTTTAATCGACATGTGTAGATCATAATGACCGCATTATTCAAAACTCACATTTTTATTCAAATAATTAATAAATTTTTGATAAAGGATTTTTACAGTCGCTTAAATAATTGTTGCATTCTATTCATATAGGACAATTCTCCTTTGTAACAATTATGCATCATAGTTTTTTTTCATATCGTAACCTCAAAAAATTATGTATAGGAGATAAACCAAGAATTTAATAAAGACCTCGTTGACCTTAGTACATAGACGACATACAGATGTGTATATGTAATGAGATAGTAACGCAATGTTAATGAGACAATTTATTCGTTCAACATCGTTTAAAGATAGTCACTGAAGACTTTGGAGTAAATCTTCAGAATGTTTAAGAATCTACAATCCACGTTTGATTAACACAACTTGTTAACTATTCCTCATCACAACATTTCGGAAGGCCTCTTTACTTTAAAAAAAGTGGTGATTAGAACCTAAGACAGATGTTTAGTCGAATATCTTGACGACTGTGATATATATTGTTATTTAAAAGTTTACGTATCCAGTATAAAGATGGAAAATGTTTAACGTCCTTTTTATGTGAATAACAAAAGAGAGAAAAACAGATTCCAGATTATCTAAAATCACATCTTTCTTGAATGATATAGGGGTATAAGTGGGATTGCAAGTTTTGCTGAGAATTCCAAGTTCGTTTTTTAATCATTCCAAATAATAATTGTTGCATATAAAAATAATAAAATAAAACATGTCTTTGATCTTGCATGGTTACAGATGTTTGATCCAGCATGTTGACTTTTATATTTACATATTTATTTGTTCAAATAAGAATCTGAATTTTCATTCCCCATCAGCACAACCGAATACACACGATGTTAGTTTTGTATTGAAACAAGTCTACTGCGGTTTTGTCGCTTACTTATTATTATTATACATATAATGACATGATACTATTTTCAGAGCGAAATTTGCACATCGATGGACAAATATAAAATCCTCCCCACCTGTTGTATTTCCATACAAAGGTAGTTTACATATTACTGTTAATCGACCATTTGTGGAGTATGCCATTACAAACAAAACAGCCACTCAACTTTTGAAATGGTTGGTTGG